AGGTGAGATATTCCTGGCTGGCCTCTCCTTTCCCAGCATACAAAACCTATTTTGGCCCCAGATCCCACAGGGTGTGCCGTTACTAGTAAATCTTGCAGCTATCACATGGTGAGCACCTGCTATGTCTCAAGAGCCGGCTCTGAGACTTAAACAGTTCAAATTTCTGTGATTCAAACTGATAACTTTCTGTTGAATATAAGCTTTAACAGTAAACCCAAACTTTTCTCTAACTTGTGTTTTCCACCTTATAAATAAATATTTTGGGTGCCTCACATGAGTACAAAATGAGTTTTGTCAGAAGGGTCCGTTACAAGTAAGACTTACCTTCTTGGAAAGGTGCAAAGCAAGCATTGCTCCTGAAGCCCTGAAAATGGTTTTGAGACAGTTTGTGGATTTTTACTGATATACAGCAAGGGGGGTTCAAATGCTAAATATATGAACACTTCTCCATTCTTATGTAAGGGAAGGATTTCAGATGTACTTAGCACAGGATCCTAACTCAACCATACTCTTGCCTACTGTTCAACAGTACAAAGAAAACTATATACCATTGAAAAATAGTAAAACCAGTGTATTAAAGAATATGAGTAAAATGAGATTAAAAGTTTTAAAGGTCACCTCACTAGATATTACTAAACCAAAAGCTATGTTAAGTATCCAGGATTTGGCATCCACTGGTAAAGATTATTTTGGTAGAGGTCTCCCTTTTTACACAGATTGCTCACTGGGACTCTGATTCCCAGTCTTGTCTGTTCCTTGCAAATGTCCTTTATTGTACATGAATTGTCATATGCCTATAAGTAAGCATATGCAGCACCTATTGAAATTTGGGATAGTTAGATCTCCTCTCAAGCACAGGACCCATCCTAAACATAGGTATACAACGCAAAACTCTTGAAGTAATCTATTATTATTATTATTATAACACATTATAAATTTGTCAGATCTTTTTTTGAAGTTTGTATCTCCAGGAAAAAAAGAAATACCATGTATTAAACAACAAAGAATGAAGAAGGGAAATGTGAGGGGAAAAAGCTTTCAGAATTATGAGATAATTTTAAATGGGTAAACAAGGCCTTCAGTAATCTGAATGAGATGGCTAGACACACATCTCCTAGTCTTTTACATTTAAACATAATACTGTTGGGTCCACTTAAATGACTGTGCCTTATATTTATAATAATGTTCTTATCTTCCCCTCCTGAGTAAGACTATGGCACCCTGAATAAATGTATCAAAACACTTATAACTTTAGAATTACCTTTTTACTAGATAGGATTTAAATGATACTGTGCCTATTATACAGTTTTAACTCCTGCATTTCGGAGAATGCCTGAAACTATTCCTAACATATTTACTTAATTGTAATATGAATTGTTTACATTAAAAGTTACCAATATTTAAGCATAATGCTGAAACCAAAGTTGTACCACCATATTGATGCAATTTCTGGTTTAAAATTATCTTAATATGTGTGGTTGTTCTTTTTCAAATTGTGATGTAATACCATGAAACCCCATGGTAGTACATCCTGTAATCATGTGAATCCTGATTTTATGTAGTTGGTGATTGTCCCCTGCCCTCAGGCAAATTAAGAATAGAATTCCTTTATTCTAACAGTCGTTGATAGCATCACACAAAAATGCTGCTCTTTCCACTGCCACTACAACCACATTTAACTAAATGTATAATTAAAATACACTTTAGATCTTTCTAGGATATTCAGTTTTTTTACTTTTTCTAGCATATTCAACAATTTTAAATACTGATTAAATCCAATAAATGTGTTGAAATAAGAAGCATCGACTCCCTAATAGGTAGCATTGGCTGAGGAGATAAAGGTAGTTTTCATCACCCTTTACTCCAAGCCATACATCTTGGTCTGCCTTCAGATTTTTCTTAATGTTTCTTCCAGGTAATTTTAGGAAATGTAGTGTTGAATATTGTATTCAACAAAGTTTGTATTTGTTGCCAAATTCTGCATTTCCAAATTCAGATGCCACTGAAATGGGGCAACAGAGATCTATGGACAGAACAATATCCTTGGATGTGGTTAGTAAAGTTTTATAATGGAATGTGATAAACCTTAACATATTTAAATATATTCAAATAATTTAATTATAGAAAATGACCATTTCATCCAGTGGTTATCAAATCTAGCTGTGCCTCAGAATCACCCAAGCAGCTTGTTAGAAAGCATAGAATCCCAAGTCAAATACATAGTAATTGTGCTTGGACATGTGTGGGTGAGGTGCTAGAATTTGTCATTTTAACAAGCACCCTGGGTGATTTTGATACCCAGCCAAACATTTTGGAATCACTGATCTAATACAATGCCCTACAGACAGGAATTACATTTAATTCATGTCTGTATTACTAGCTAGATCAGCAAAGTGCCGTGCACGTAGCAGGTGCAAAATAAATGTTTGCAGGAGGTAGGGCAGAAAGTTGGTACAAAGAAAATTTCTGTGACTTGTGGAAGGTCCTCCAGTTAAGAAGCATTAGAACCCACTTCTGATTTGGCCCAGCAGTGGAGGAACAAGGGCTTCGGGATCCTCTTTTAACCATTTTTCCAAACAAGTATAATATAGTAAATCATCCAAAATTGATCTCATAAGATTATAGTATGGACATGCAGGTGTATATGTTCAATGGTACGTTGCAGGTACAATTCCCATCTCATCTTGCAAATTTCAATATAGCAGTTTCTCTAATTTTTAGGCATTATAAAATATTTATAACCCTTCCCTGCTTCAGTGCTTTAATATTAGAGTTTGTTAAATGCATAAAAGTACATTGTGTAGTAAGTTTCTTGAAGCCAGAAAATAAAATGTCACAGACATCACTATTACTTTTACTTCTCTCATCTACCCCCTGGAAAGTTTGTGGCCAGTTATCAAAACTGCAGGTATTAGATGACTCTTAAACAATGCCCTTTTGATCTGTTGTACTTGAATTCAATTACATTTCCAAATAAGTTTTCGGTATAAGAGAGGGTAATGCAATGGCATTCTCCAGTTATTGCATCAGCATTTTAGAACATGGCTACCAATTTTCCAGAAGTAGGAGGAAGAGGGAAAAGAAAACAAGGAAGGGAAGTGGAGGAATAATAAGAATCCTTAAGTTGCAAACTCTTCACTTTCATTTGTATTACCTCCCATATGACCCACCACATGGGTCTCATTTACAAGGGCATTTAGAAAGTTGTGAATCAATTTGCCCAAGAGTTAATACCACTTATTTGGGGGGATTTTTAGCCTCTCAGTAGATATCCTGAATCATAGTCATCTGTTCTTAAGTCCTGCAAAAAGACTAGTATGACTGTAAATGAATATGTTATTTGATAACTTCTTTCATTTTCTTCATCAATATGAATGATACTCACAAGCTCCTTTAACCAAGTGATAGTGTCATGACAGTCTTACACTAAGGGGCTATAAATGGGCAGTGGGAAAAGTGGACTTTAATCAAACAGCTGTGCATTGCTGTAGAAACCAGTGAGAATATCCAACTTGAAATGATCTAACTTTTAAACATATGAAGGATTTTTAAATGCACTAGTCATATCAACCCCCCAGCATACATGATGAGTATTAAAATACCTTTTCTCTAACTTGTATTCCGGTTTCTTGAGTGTGCGATTGGGAAGGGAGTTAGAGTTGCAGGTTAAATAGATAACTTCACTTGCCTGGGGTAGTCTTTTTTTTAATGTTTTCCCTTTTGTTATTAATTGTAAACTTTGTAAATCAGTTTTCCCTTCAAATTTCTTAGGCAAAAATTAATGCAAGGCAGTGATTAAGAAAAATTGAGAAAATTTAATTCAAATCATTTGAACCAAAGCTTAAGACTTTGAAGTAGGATGAAAACTGAGGAAATGCCACAGGTGATCATTGCAGGATGAAAGTAACACGGGATGGTTGATGGAAAGCCTAGTTTACTTCTCAGGTTAGTAACTAGCTCTGCACTGGCCTAAAAGGTTGTTCTCCGTTAAACAATCCAACTCAGATCATGCATTGCTTTCCATGGATCAGATATAGAGACTTTCTATCATTTAAAGTGAATACCATCATATATGTTCTCCAGTTGGTCTGTGTGTACTTCAAATGACTATTTCCTTTTTAACTCATTAGTAAGCTTCTAAATGACCATTTTCAAATTTTTTTAATTACCTCAAATCTATAGCAATAGATTCAGTAGATGATCAATCCATCACATATAGAATGAAATGGATTATGAAGTTTAAACTTCTGAAAGTGTTTTTCCATTTCACCATCACTCCTGAGCCCTGATTACACTCTAGCTGTTGTATCACTACACTCATAACATATTATTCCCCTTTTTTGTCTAGCTGTTTGTTTCTATCTTTTAGACCAGCAGTCCTCAGCCTTTTTGGCATCAGGGACCGGTTTCGTGGATGACAGTTTTTCCATGGTCTTGAAGGGGGGATGGTTTCAGCATGAAACTGCTCTACCTCGGATTATCATGCATTAGATTCTTATAAGGAGTGTGCAACCTATATTCCTCGCATGCGCAGTTCGCAATAGGATTCATCTCCTATGAGAATCTAAAGCTGCCACTGATCTGACAGGAGGCGGAACTCAGGCAGCAATGCTCACTCGCCCGTGGCTCACCTCCTGCTGTGCAGCCCAGTTCCTAACAGGCCCCATTCATGGCCGAGGGGCTGGGGACTGCTGTTTTAGACTACAGTTTTAACGTCAGGGAAGATATCTTATCCATCATTACATATTCCATACTACCTGATATAGGAGCTATTTAGTAGATTTATGTTTTATGTGTAGACATGTCAAAGTTGCACCAAATATGAACTTGGGGAAGTTGTATTTGCTTGAGTAAAAAAAAAAAGTTGGATCAACTTTTGTCTTCATTGAATTAGAGGTCTGAATTTATTATTATCAAAATAGTACAGTATTCGCTTGTCGTTTTCTTGCCATTTTACTCAAATTAATTTCAAAAGCCTCTTTTCTTTTGCTTTATTCTAGAACTGAACAATGCCACAAAAACTTTCTTTACTAAAGAATATTTGAAAATAAAACAAAGCTTTCAGAAATCCAACTCTGCAAAATGGCCCCTACCAAGCTGCAGAAAAGCATTTCATCTTTTTGGAGGTAAGGAATCTAATGCCAAAAAAAAGTCTAGTAACTTTGTCTAAGGTCTCTTCTTAAAAGTAACTTCTTTCTGTCTCAGAAATATTAGTGAAAACATATTTTTGTATTGATCAATTTTAAATAAGGATTTTGCTAAGTATCTCCTTGCTGCAAACAACAGATGTACCTATGAAAAAAATAAAGACTACGCAATAAGAGCAAATTTGAAGACTAATGACTAAATTGACTTTGCCACACTATCACTGTTTAGTATGTAGGTAATGAAAATACATCTCAAAGTATCAGATTTGACAAAAGTCATACTTATGGCAGCACTGGCCCTTCTGAAGTGGCTGCTGCCATGAAGGCAGCTCCAGTGAGGGAGCCACAGCCCACTCCACAGAGCTGGCAGAAACCAGGGACAGGTAGGAGCCCCGCCCTCCTAGGCAAAGCTACAGCTGCTGAGCCATGGTTGCAGACCCAGTCATCCTTGTACTCTCAGGGACTGGGGAAGCCCCCTTGCCCCTGCAGGCTTGGAAGTGCCTACTCCCACTGCCTGGCCTCTCCCTGCTCCCGGGACCCAGTCCAATTTCAGAGCAAAGTTGAGGCCAAGCCCAGGCACTGTCGCGACCCAGCCAGGTGTGCACACACTCAAGGCAGTGCTGACACATCAGCCCCCTGCTCCCTTGGCCCACTCCAAACTTTGGGTACTGACAAGCATGAGAGGAAGGCTGAAGGGGGCTGAGGGCAGCTCGGCGCAGCCTGCAGGCACCCCTTGGCAAGAATAGCCTGGGCACTGTGGGCACTGTGGACGGCAGGTTGATGGTGACAGGAAGTAGACAGGCTCCTGGGCAGAAAGGAACAGGTCTCCAGTAAAGCCCTACCTTCAAGACAGGGACAGCTTGAAGACTGGGAGCTAGACTCTCAGTTTTGTGGACCAGAGTGAGAATTTATGGTGCTTTTTCCAGGCCTGCCCATGGCTGCCCATGAACCACTCAGCATGCACTTTCTCCCCTTTTAAGCCCATAAAATCCCTAGCAGGCAGACAGTTGGACAACTTACCTGGAGATATGGTCTGCCTGTGGATAGGAGCTGCCCACCCTGGGTCTCCTCTCCACTGAGCACTATAGAGACAACAGGACAACCTGCTGCAGATAGTAGATACCTGCTGTGGGTCTCCTGAGAACTGTTCTGCTGCTCAATAAAGCTCTTCTCCACCTTGCTCACCCTCCAGTTGTCTGCATACCTTATTCTGCCTGGGTATGGGACAAGAACTCGGGACCTGCTGAATAGCAGGACTAAAAGAGCCATAACACAAGGTCTGAAACACACCCCCCGCCATGAAACACTCTCGCCATGTTGTGGACAATGACAGGAGAAGAGCTGCAGCCCTTTGGGGAACCCAGATGTAGAGAATCCCTGAGCCAGGGCTATGACACCCTCTTTGGGGTTCTACAGTTCCTGGAGTCACCCAGCTTCCTGGCACCACTATATTTTTCTCGTTCAGACTCAGGTGCCCGCAGCAGAAGCCACGTAAAGTATATCTGGTCTAGCCACAGCCTCACACAGAGCTGGAACCTGGAGCTGCCTGCCTCACCACAGCAGCCAGCATGCCTGGCTGTGCACAGTGGCTGGACCTCACGCCTGCTCAACCACACACCCCTCGCCACCCCACGCCTGGCTCGCACTTGGCAGGTTTGGGATCTGAGCCGGTAGTAAGAGCTGAGCACAGACTGCCTGGCCAAGTGGGTGAAACAAGCCCAGCAGGCACAAGCAATACTCAGGCAGAAGGTGCTGCTGGCACAAGAGGTTTCCAGCTGGTGAGGTGACAACCTAGGGATCCTATGACAATATTTGACAAAGTCACTAATACTCTGTATAAAGATTCCTAATAATGCATTCATTAGCAAAAGCTAAATTTATTTAGTTTTAAATAAATTTATTTATTTAGCTTTAAGACACCCTGACAAGGCTCTGTGACTTTCTATTTGTTCTAAACTTGTGGGACAACTGTATTTTATAGTTGTATTTTATAGTGTACAATACAACTGTA